GTGACACGGAGAACGATGGTGATATAATTAAAGTAATACCACCTTGATCAAAAAGTTCCCGGAATTACCACCAGGTGCTCTGAGTCAACTGATTTGAGTTCTGTTTTTTTGGTTAGGTTGCCACATCTATCATTGACATTCCTACCAAATTTTATCACCATAGCTTGACATTTGTAAAAGTTACGCCGTCTTGAGTACATCTACCTCTGCACGTATTTTCGATTTTTTACAGTTTTAAAAATGGAATGGATTTTGCATCATGATAACGCACCGTCGCACAGTGCCGTTATTATCCGTGAATTTTTGAAAAAAACGAAACGAATACCATCCAACAGCCATCGAATTCACCTAATATGGCTCCCCAGATTTTTTTCTGTTCAATCGAGTCAAAAAACCATTACGGGGAACGCGTTTTAACAGCCGAAAGGAGGTAATGGAAAAATCGAAGACGGCTATACCGACAATAGAGTTCCAGAAATGTTTCGAGAGCTGGATAAAGCGCTGGCATAAGTGCGTTGCAGTCGATGGGGAGTACTTTGAAGGGGACAATATCTCTTTTGATGAATAAAACTTGTATTTTAAATTTTCTGAATGAATTCCGGGAACTTTTTGATCAAGATAGTATATCGAGATTTAAATCGAGCTCAAATAAACATCTTACGAATATCCTGTGAAAAAGATGTGCTGCATTGAGTTTTACTGATGTTCATGGAAAATATTGCTCATCATGCATCGTAAGAATAAACAATTTTCAAGTCTTCCGTTCGAAAACATGATACCGTATGTGCAATTCATGAAGGTTATTCGTGTTCGAAATGCAAAGGTTTTCTTTATCAAATAATGCCGTGTAACATGTGTCTTATTTGCACACAGTGATACAAGGTGACAGTGTTGTCAAAGATACAAAAACAGACTAAAAATATATATTTTCTCAAAACTTTTTTAATGAAAAGACTGTGAAAAAAAAGGATATTATAATATAGAGCAAACGAAACGTAATCTGGTGGAACAAGCCGCTCAGTTGAATACGAAAAGAATTTCTTGCGTGGGAACAATGATGCAACGATTTCATCGAATCGTTGGAGGAACAAAGCAGCATTAAAAAATGTCCGTGATTACTTTTCGGTGTTAGAAAATCCTTAATTGTATCGCACGACTCGAGAGTTTAAAAGATTCGGTGCGCGGATGTCTCATGTAAGTGAATGCCGGTTACAGCGCAGGACTCAGATAACGCGATATACTGCAAATCCGTATTTTAAAACACATATGTATATTATTTGACTGAAGCATTTTTAACACATTTCTCACCGTTTTAAATTACAACACACTTAAAACATTTTATTTCGACTCATTTTAATATATTATATCAAATTAATATGATTAAATGTGTTTATTTAATATAAGGCATTTAAAACGTGGTAGAAATTTAGATAAGGAGCTAGTATGGCTCTTGCTTCCTTAGCGAAAAAAAAATTTTTTTTATTATTATTACTTCAATTTTTCCACTTTAATTTATTATTTACTTTTTCATATTCCTATATTCTGTCTTATTAACTACAATTAATTATTAAAAATCGCATTGCTAGTAAGATTTGAACCTATGATCTCTAGAACGATAGCCTAATACCATATATATAAATAATTAAAAATTATGTAAAAATTTTTGTAATAAAAAAAGTTCTTTGAGAAAATAATAAATTATTAGATGTACAACTTTGCTTCCGCCGTTTTTTTTCCGAAATTCGAGGCTTTATTGTAAAAAACTGGTTATACATTTATGATTCAAAGTATTGTCCATCGCTGGCCACTTTCTCCCATCTTTCGGGTAGCGTACGAATCCCGCGTCGAAAAAACTGGTCATCTTTTGAGGCTATCCACGAATCGATCCAATTTTTTATTTCTTCATAAGACCGGAAGTGCTGGTCAGCCAGGTCGTGTGCCATTGATCGAAACAAGTGATAGTCAGAGAGAGCAACGTCTGGAGAATAATCGGCGGGTGGGGTAGGACTTCCCATTTCAACGTTTCCAAGTATGTCTTGACCACTTTCGCAACATGGGGTCGAGCATTGTCATGCTGCAAAATCACTTTATCGTGTCTCTCGTTGCGGCCGTTTGTCTTTTAATGCTCGGCTCAAACGCATCAATTGCGTTCGATATCGATCACCTGTGATTGTTTCAGTCAGTTTTAACAGTTCATAATACACTACGCCGAGCTGGTCCCACCAAATACAGAGCATGACCTTGGAGCCGTGAATATTCGGTTTGGCCGTCGACGTGGAAGCATGGCCGGGAACTCCCCATGATTTTCTGCGCTTGGGATTATCGTAATGAACCCATTTTTCGTCCCCAGTTACAATGCGATGCAGAAATCCCTTCCGTCTTTGTCTTTCAAGCAGCTGTTCACAAGCAAACAAATGCTGTTCAACATCTCTCGACTTCAATTGGTACGGTATCCAATTTCCTTCTGAATCATTCCCATGGCTTTGAGGTGTTTTGAAATGGCTTGTTGTCACTCCCAATAATCGTGCTAATTCTTCTTGATTTTGACAAGAGTCTTGCTCAAGTAATGCCTCCAATTCTGCATCTTCGAAGACCTTCTCTCTTCCACCGCTATGCCGGTCTTCGAAATCACCGTTCTTGAAGCGTTGAAACCACTCACATGTTCTTTCACTAATAGCGGCCTCACTATAAGTATTGGAGAGCATTCGATGAGCCTCAGCCGCAGATTTCTTCATATTGAAGCAAGAAATTAAAATCTCCCGCAAATGACGAGAATTTGGCTCGTAAACTGACATTTTCAATCGAGAATAACTTTATGATGCAGACACAAATCGACTAATGTTTCTATGGGGTTATGTTGACAGATGCCCAAGTTTCTTGTATGACGTCTATGATCTATTTATTTCGACCACTACTTACCGCTAAAGCCATCTATAGGAAAACGGCGGAAGCAAAGTTGTACACCTAATACATAAAATAATATAATACATTCTTTTTTTGCTTACACTATTTTAGTTTTTTTTTCGAATTCAAAATTGAAGATCCACGCAATAGATAGAGCGAAAAACTAAATGATTGTGCTGTCAGGTTACCGAGCGAAGACGACAAATGATTGAGCTTTGGCAATTACATCAGGAAGGAACATTCATAGTCTATGCCGACTTGGAATGCACTTTGGAGAAGACGGAGAGGGATATCGAAACGTCCAGCTACACGTAACAGCATCATCGGATATTTATAATAGTTTAGCATATTATGTTCGCTGTTCGTACGAGGATTTGTTGTGTATACATAAATTTTGTCGCGATAACGATTGCGTCGCCGAGGAAAAACTTAGCGTATAAAATAAAGACTAATTTGTCCACTAACGTTTCCATGGCAGATTTTTTTTAAGCGAGATGATATGATAAATTTTAACATTGCCACGTGTGTAAAAAATCGTTTGCGCTGGATGAGTACATGATCATTACCACTTGATCGATACAGAGGTCCCGCGCATTCAAATTGCAATTTGAATTACAGAGATTCATTTTGCATTCTCATAGTTTTTCATAATTTATCGAGATACGACGCGCATTTTATTAAGAATAATTATCGCTATAAAGGATGTGTAGATATGCTTCTTATAATAAAAGAAAAATATATTTCCTTTACAAAACATGTCGATGACACTGCAAATAATAAGAAAAAATATATAAAATTATATTTTATTGATTCTTATAAATTTCTCAGTTTAGAAAAATTGGCGTCATATCTCGATAAAGATAAATTGAAAATTACACAGTCAGAATTTTTCAACCTCAGCGCGAAGGATTTCGATTTTCTCACATGCAAAAGTATATTTCTGTACGAGTACACTGACTATGTCGAAAAATTAAAGGAAACCGAGTTATTATCGCAAATTATTTTACAGCTCGCTGACAAGTGATACCGTATCCGAGAGCAATTATCTGCGTACGCCGTCAAAGTGTAGCAGCGATTCTCCATTCAAACACTCGGTGAATGTAACGAGTTGTATTTGAAGACAGATGTTTTGTTGTTAACCGATGTTTTCGAAAATTTCTGTAACAGTTGCATCGCGAATTACGGGCTCGACCTCGCGTTATTATACACTACCTGGTTTTATATGGGATATTGAAACATACACGAAAAATTCGAACTTCTTATGGATATTGATATGACATGGTCATGTTCGTCGAATGCAATATACGTGGAAGTCTAAGCCAATGTTCAAACAGATATGCACAGCTAACAATAAGTAGTCGTACGATTCGATACCATCAACGTATTTTGACTTGTACGGTTGGGCAATGTATTAATCGTTACTACACGCCGATTTTCGATAATGTAGAAAATTTTGATGTTGCGACCATCGCGACAAATTTACCTGTGGGTTATGTTCTCGAAATAGATTTGAAGTATCCGCAACATCTTCATACAGACCTACTATCTTTTGTCTAACACGCGAGAAACCACCCGAGAGAAGAAACTCTTCGCTACGTTGTATGATAAGAAGTGTTATGTAACTCATTATCGTAATCTCATAATCTGTAACTCATTATAGCAATGTACTCGTCAGTCATTCACTCAAGTGACGTCGAGTCATTCACTTTGAATCGCGAGAGTATGACTGTCTTTACGCTACTGTATACCGTGTTTAAGATTTTTTTGCCGATTGTAGGAGTTACATCGATAGGTCGCATTCCGATAGTTCAACGTTTTCGTTGTACTCTCACACGAAACGTAGCAAGTCGATCCATTTGTAATTTCCATTGTGCGTAAATTGTTTCCACATATCGTTTTTCAATGTACGAACTGTTCAATGATCGATGCCTTCATTACGAAATACGTTGAATAATGATTTATGTTGTGTTTTTTCAAGAATTTCTGTACGTTTGTGTAAAATTCTTTTCTCATATCGATTACAAATTTTTCGGGCATCTTCTATCGTCTCGAGTTATCTTTGCTATCGCTGTATAGCCATATTTCTTTGTTTTGAGCGATACGGCCCATGCATGCTTACTCAACACGTCGATAACGGTAAAAATGTAGTGATAACCTTTGTTGAATCGTGTGTAAGGGCGCATTTTTATTACATCAGCCTGCCTTTTCAAGATTTTTTTTCTCAAACATTTTTTTGTCATGGTGTGCAAAAAATGTTAGAAATATCTTACGCAAACGTTGATCAATATTTCGACATTGACTAAAGCTACTGCGTATTCCCGTTTCAATTTATAATAAGGCCAGCTTCGCGAAACTCCTCATGGCACGCGATATTACACCTTTTCTGACTTTTTACCTGACTTGTTATTTGATTTTCACGTGGTATGCCCGTTTCAACTTGTATTTTATTTGACACTAAGGGTGCTATTATATTCTTATATTCTTATATTCTTATATTACCCTTTGCTACTCACTATTGGATTATTCGTTTTATGATTGCGCCTATGAGCATTATCAACAGTATACTTGTTTATCATTCTCTTTGCTAGTTTATCATTCTCTGTGTAAATAGTGTCGTCGGGAATTTTTTTTGAAAAGTAATTCGTACAACCCAAGTACTTTTGTACTTTACTCCATCTATGATCACGAAATCACTCGTGTCTAAATCGAACTGTTTATCACAGAGCATCGTGCCAGTCTCTGAGGTATACATATTATATAAACGTGATCGATCTTCTTTTTTCTGCTTCATCTATCTAAAAACCATCATCTTCAATATCTTCAGGTTTTCTTTTTTTAATAATTTTATCCTTTGCAATATTTCTTTCTTAATCATCTGAGATTCCTTGCCAGTGATGTTTTCGAACAATCTCTCAGAGGTCAATCTTTCAGAGGTTCAACGACAGGCTGAAAGTATCTCTCCGTTATATCTTCTTTTATTTTACCGATTTTCAAAGCGCGATACTTTTTATGAATCGAATCACTGGTTTTCGCAATCTGCTTCGCTACTCTTTCACGATCCTTCAGCTCCTTGCTGTTATCCATGTTGTACTCGAAAGGGAACCTTGTGTAGTTGACGTACCGACAACGATTAACCACATTACGGTATCGGATACTCGTTAAATTTTTTTTTGTATCGTCCATTTGTGAGCGCGCTATCTTTGTTTATCACTACGAATCCATATTTTTGCTGCCAATAACAACGACACAATAGAAATCGTAAGACATGTTGATATTTACATAGTCATTGTATACATGTTTCAGATTGATATCATCCTGTTTGAACAGAATCAACAGATTTGCATTATCATGTATAAGATGCTTCAGTATTTTTGCATATGTCTGACAGAGATAGAAACAGTCGACGTCTGCGTGTCGACCCACCGCAAAATACTCTCTAATCTTGCTTATCACGTACCATGTCGTCAAAGATGAAAATAGAATTTGGAAGCGTCTCGTTCGGTGAAACGACATCGCTATTATTGGAGAATGTAAAATAATCAATTTCTTCAATCGGAACTAATAAATTCTATCGATATTTTGGCTGTTGCAACGAATACACGTTCTCGAAGCGTATGCCATGTGGACTTTCCAAACTTATCAGCATGTTTATTTTGCCGCAGTTTGAAGGACCACAGATAATACCACGTATAGAATTCGACAATATATTTCCATGCTTGCACATTTCTTTTTTCTGTCTCTATTTGTTGCCGACATTTTTACTTTGATTACTTGCGATTGTAGCACGAATCTTATATCTTTACTTTCTCCACGATACTGATATAAACTGAAAAAATTGCACCGAGAATGGACCTATTTATAGAAGCGCGTAGAGCAAAACTGCTCAGTATTGAAAAATGTTTTATTAATGTTTCTTGTGTCGGATAACTGTGATGTGCATAGTTTAATCAAAGAGTTAGAATATATATCGAAAATTATTTTGTTACAAAAGTTTAAAAATTACATAGATCAACTGAGACAGATTACCTGAGCATATAATATTAAAGTTGTTTCAAAAATTCAGCAACATTGTCGGTGCTTGAAACATTATAATTTATCTTGTCATCGATCACATATCGATGATCTGACAGCATTTATAAAAAATTGTGAATGTCAACTACAACAACAAAAGTTGCGGCTTTTTAAATCGATGAACGCACTTCTGTTCGAATTACATATCCCGGATATCAATTTTGCGGTCCAGGAACACATTTAGAAAAGCAACTGACTAGAGGCAATCAAGGCATTAATCCGTTGGACTCGCGAACACGACAGCTTATTCAAGAAACAAAGAGACAAGAAACAAAGTTTTCTCGCGAAACGATACGTAGCTGATAAAATACTCGCCGAGAAAGCACGGAAATGTATTACTGCGAGATCGACAGATTCGACTCTCGAGAGAGTTGCTGCCATCGCTTTGACGGCTATAAACGACAAGATGAAAATTGGTATGAGTTTGAAAAAACAGAGAAGAAGAAATTAATGAAAAAAGCAAATACTCCCGATGACAAAACGCGGCAGTTTCTATTCTGTCGCTCCTGAAAGTCATTGGCTCGCTGGTTGGCGGCGCGGCAAAAGTTGCAAACGCTATAAACGACAATAAAGCCGCGCAGCGTCAATTGGAAAAACTAAACTATCATAATTGTGTCATTTATTCGTTCCTCCTCGTATTAATAATCATGGACGAGAGATCTCAACAGAGAAAATTAACAAAAATAAAAAAGAGTCAAAGAAAAATAAAAATGCCTAAGGATGTAAACTACCAACGTAGAATTGCAACAACTAGTAAACGCATTCCATATTTTAGAGGTATTTTTATATACTACTTTACTTAATAGGAGGAATGTATCGAAACGAAAGCGGTATCATAAATTTGGATAATGCTGATGGACCAGATACTCATTGGGTGGCATACGCGAAGCGGGCAGATGCTGTTTACTTTTCTTCGATTACCGAAAGAATTGGTGAGATATTTGAACATAACGCAAATCGAGTATAATTGTACGCCTAATCAACATTTTGATGAAAGTAACTGACAAATGTGTCTGCAATTTTTACAGATAGTTAAGATCAGTTTAAGAATTGACATTGCACTCTTTCAACTCAAAATTCATGCAAACACGATTTAACATTCGTTAAGATCAAAGTCACTGGAGATTGTTTCTCTTATTTTTATTTTTATGTAATTTTTAGTACAAAAATTAAAATAAAAGGAATCTCTAATAATCTTGATCTTGACAAAAATTATCCAGGTCATTCTGAACAACATTTAAGAGGTTTTAACTGTCGGATACCTTTCATCTTGCTAATATCGGCGGTACTGTAACCTTCAAGCCTTATAACACGAAAAATACTTCATGAAAAAATATTATTATAGTGTTTTGAAAAGTCCTTAAGGTGTATTACAAGAATGTAATGAAAAATAGGGGATTCCGTTTAAAAAATTGAAAGTGACATTGCTTTAATCTTGATAACGCTACCCAAGATCAGATTGATCATCATCACTAAATAGATCATTCAAAAAAACTTTTGTCTGAAACATTTTTTCCTAAAATGCTTTGTTTCTGAGGTAAAATGGGTGTATGTGTGGAGACACCCTATATATAAAGATTTCTTGAAAGCTTAGAACAGTAATTATGAATTAAAAATATAGGCTGAATAAAAGAAATTTTATAACAATAAGAGATCTCGGTTTAAATAAGATGCGTTTGTTAATGATTTTTAATTCTCTTTAATCTCTTCCTTTTCTTTGTCTTCCCTTGTCTTTTCTTCTCTTTGATTCTCTTTGTTTTTTCCCTTTTTTGATCTTTTTTGACACTGTTTAGCAAAATGAAACTATTCAGTTACTATTCAGTTGTCGAACTCCGTTTTCTGAGTGTCAGTATCGTGTGATGCGAGGTAATCATTCCTTAAAATGAAAATTAATGTAAAATTAATAAAAATAATACAATATTTTTAATTTATGATTTAGCGACATTTTTTTACATACCCTTTATAATTATTACGAGCTGTGAATTGTCTAAGCGAAATGGTTCCATATATTCTTCTAAGGGCAATTTATGGCACATTCATTGATAAAAATCTTTTTTAGAGTAGGATGAATGTTATCCCTAGGTTGTTTCCTCCAATTTGTTATATAAATTGCTTCTATATAAAAAAATGTAATTTCAGGTTTTGTTTAATGACAAAGTTAAAAAAAAATCCGGAAAGAATATTTAAAAATTATCAAATAAATATAATTTAATAAATGAGAAAATAACATACATACACACACGCGCACACACACGCACGCACACACGCACCCATCCATTATATTATTAATACAGGTTTGAGATCAGGTTATCTTTAATTGCGAGAATTGCATAGCAAATATTTGACAACAATACCTAAATTCAAGACGACTATAATATATATTTCTTTACATATATATTTTTAATATTAAATAATACATGATTTTATATTTGCTATATATTTGCTATATATTTATATTTGCTATATATTTACTATACTTAAAATATATATTACAGGAAGAAGAATAGGTCGCTGATCGTGAAGTCAACTACTGTGCGAGAGAGAAAGGTATACAAGTTCTTTGCAATGCGCATGTGCTACTCATCTCCACTCAATTGCGCAGGCAATCTCCGTTGCCCGCGCAGTTCACGTTTCACTTCCATTCCACATCGTTCATATATTCGTAAACTAACAACATCAGTGTGTAAGAAACATTAACACAACTGCACAATTCGCACAGATGACAGCGAACGCCAGATGCTGACTGATACTGACGCATGCGCATTGCAGTCAAAAAGAGATCTCTCTACCTTTCTCTCTCGCACAGATGTTGGCTTCACGTCGGTATACGGGCCAGTATAGGAAATTACTTTTCCTAGTAATATATACTCTAAGGCTATACAACATGTGCAACTAAAAGAACGATTATGACCTTATCGAGAACTTGTAGAAGTGTCATGAATTATCTTGAATAAGTAAACAAAAATATTATATAATTAATCATAAAAATTAAATGTGTAATACTTTTTACATTTAATTCTATCGTTTAAAGATAATCAGTATGTGAAAAAGAGAAAGGATTACCTTCGATGTTCTC